TTGGGAAACATGTTAAGGTCTTCATTTAATTTCACATCTGCTCCTTTTGATTTAATTCATATGGAACTTTGGACTTCTCCTATTGTGAGTTCACTTGGGCATCATTATTATGTTTTATTTTTGGATGATTATACTAATTTTTTGTGGACTTCTCCACTCAAACATAAGTCACACGTTTATTCCATCTTCACCACCTTTCGCACTTTCATTCGAACCCAATTCGAGAAAAAGAAGAAAATATTAAAAGTGACAATAACTATGTGAACTTCGTGATATGAATTTATGGCTATCTTGTCCTCATACTTCCCCTCAAAATTGCAAGGCCGAGCGTAAAATCCTATCCATTAATAACATGACATGCACTCTTCTTCTCCATGCTTCCAACCCCCCTTCTTATATATTGGCACCATGCCCTTCAAATGGCAACTTACCTTCACACCAAGCAAAATTCCATCATTTCTCTCCCCAACTCATATATTGTACCAGCAAAAAAGTAAGACCGCTTTCTTTGAACCCATGGACAAGTTAAATCTTAAACGTTCACTAAACCGGAATAGAAGCATAAGGTCGTGATGTGCCAGCTTTTGAAAATGTCATAAATGGGTAGTTGGTCATATATCATTCTCTTATCACAATTTTGAATTTATATTCAGCAAATGGAACTTGAAAAAATCTAGTTCTTCTGAAAATTTGATTTCAAACGTGATTAAATTTCATTTGAATTCTACGAGATTCCGATGAAACGATTACATTATGTGAACCAAACACCACCCTACATTAGGGTATGGATGGCACTTGACCTTTCGAAGGTTACATACCTTGTGCTCATTGATCTGTCTATATAGTCTCAATAACATTTTCGTTTTCTAGAGGATCCCTAGATCCTATCAATACATTAATTTTCTTTTAATTCAAAACTGGTTACAAGGATGTAAGTTGTGTTCATTTCATAAAGTTACTCTTTAATTCTAAACAATTTTTAATGTCTTTGATATGATATAAGGATTCTATGAAAAACAATAATGTTTAACGATTTCCTTCATCGATTTTTTGGAGACTGCTTTGACAGAGGGCAAGTAACATGATTGTCACTACATACGATTACTACTTGTTACCTTGGCACACTGAAAACGGAAAATAAGTAAGTATTTACATCTAAATGTTTCAATATTCTTCACCTTTTTATATCTTACCATTTTGATTATGTTATTTATATTCTCGTGTCATTAAAGAAATATGTTTTTCATTACAGAAATTTAGCTTTCTATTTTTCCTGAAACACTAATCAAATGCAGTTACCCAAAACACAAAGATAACTACTATCCCAATGATATATAACGCCCCCCCCCCCCCTTTGTAACTATTTTGTTAATTTATGGGTTTTGGTTCATTATTTTCACATGATCAAATTTTGTAATTTACTGTCTTTTCATAAATAAGTATTTAGTATTCAACCCACGCATTTGGTACTAGATACAATTAGATATATTTGTTACAACTGCTCAGGTTGGGTTACGTTGGATGATATGGGTTATAATTGTTCATATTTTGTTACATTTCGGTAGTGTCACGATGACTCATTTTGGTTACATTGGGTTATATTGGGTTACACTAGATGATGATGGATGGGTAAAAATGCAGTTGGTTGTATTTTTCTGTCAATTGAGACTTTGTAGCAATCATCCTAAAGCGGAACTCCATGCACGCTCCGTTGTGAAGATGAGTGGAAGATTGTCCTGTGTGCAACAAAGTTTCTTAGATCACTACAAAAATGCAGAGTATCAGCGAGGAAAATTCCTTCGCAAATCCGTCGCTAAAAGGGTAATCCGTCGCTGATCCATCGTTAAAAAGGTAATCCGTTGTTGATACTCCGTTGGTCAAATGCTCGTAGGTAATGCTATCAGCGACGGATCAGCAAGAGATATCAGCGACGGATTTGCGAGGGATACTTTCAGCGACGGATTTGCGAGGGATACTTTCAGCGACGGATCAGCAAGGGAAATTATTACCAAC